GAAGACCTCAAAGACAGAAGAGCAGAAGTGCTGGTAGATGTGGCAGAAGCCGGGAAAAGCATTCGTAACACCCGCCTGTCCTTCGGCAACTACAAGACCAACTACTGATGCCTGCCCTCCAATGTCCTGATGGATCTATCACATCTTCCAGAAAGGCAATGGAGAATATTATCCATGACTTCTACTCAGATCTCTTTGATAGCCATGTCCACCTGCCGACATACCAAATTCCACAGGATGGATATGTTGTTCCCAATGTTCTCCCTTCTGAAATCCGACACGCCATTTCGTCGGTAAAGAAACAAACAGCACCTGGCCCAGACAAGGTCAGACCTGAACACCTGAATAACCTGCCGTCAGTACTCATCAATACGCTGGCTAGGCTCTTCATATGCTACCTGTCTGAATGCGAGCTTCCATCCCAATGGAAAACCAGCAGGACTGTACTACTGTACAAGAAGGGAGACATCCACGACATTGACAACTATCGCCCAATCTGCCTATTGTCTGTCATGTACAAGCTGTTCACTCGAGTCATCCTGAATAGGATTGGCATAATACTAGATGAAGGACAACCATGCCTGCAAGCCAGGTTCTGGAAAGAATTCAGCGCCATTGACCATATCCAACAATAACCAAACTCATTGAGGTTTCTTGGGAGTTTAAGATGCTGCTCTGTATAATGTTCATTGATTTAAAGAAGGCCTTTATGGTTTGCAAAAGAGGCAGTGGGTGACATTCGTGTTTGGTCTATAGTCTACTTTCAGCATGCTTCTCCCATCTTGGGAGGATCCTCCCAATACCCTTTATTTGGTGTTCCCTTCTCTATCTGAACTCCCTTTTCCCCTAGCATGTGTGGTTGGCTTTCAAGCCATGGAGTTAAATTCCTGGTACTAATCTCAGCCATTCTTGGGTGTTAGTCTCCTATTTTGTTACTTTATGTTCCCCAGATGAATGCGATCTTTCTATGTCTATCCCTTTCTTTCTGAGTCATTTCGCTTAACATGATACTTTCCATGTAGTATCACTTGTATGTAAATTTCATGACTTCCTCTTTTCTAACAGCTACATAGTACTCCATTGTGTAAATGTACCAAAGTTTCTTTAACCAGTCATCTGTTTTCGGGCACTCAGGTTTTCTCCAGATTTTAGCTATTGTAAAGATTGCTGCAATGAACAAACAATTGCAGATGTCACTTTGACTATACTTTTTTGCCTTTCTGGGATATATTCCCAGGAGTGGTATTGCTGGGTCAAATGAGAGCTCAATTTCTAATTTTTGAAACCCAAGCACAAAAATTTGTAAGCCTACAACTGTACCTCATGATGTCTCACTAATAAAAATTTTAAAAAATAATGAAATAATAAAATAAAATGAAATTTATATTTAAAAAAAAAAGGCCTTTGATTCTGTTGAGATGGAAGTGGTCATTGAAGCCCTAGCCAATCAGGGCATTCAAACTCAATACATCAGGATCCTCAGTGAGCTGTATTACGGATTCACTACCAGGATCTCACCATTCTACAAAGAAGTGATCATAGATGTCAAGACAGGGGTTCGGCAGGGTGATACCATTTCACTGAAACTCTTCAGTGCCACCCTCGAGAACATCATGTGACGACTGGAATGGGAAGGAATGGGAGTGAAGATAGATGGTCGGCAACTACACCATCTCCGCTTTGCTGATGACATCGTTCTAATAACACCAAACATCAGCCAAGTGGCACAAATGCTGGCCAACTTTGACCGTGAGTGTGGAAAGGTCGGGCTATAGCTGAATCTCACAAAGACAGTGTTTATGAGAAACAGCCTCGTTCCTGACGCTCCATTCGCTCTCAACGGAATGACCATCTCCGAATGCAATAGTTATGTGTACCTAGGTCGAGAAGTCAACATCATGAATGACCTGGAACCTGAGTTGTACAGGAGGAAGAGAGCGGCTTGGAAAACCTTCAAGAGCGTTGAAAATAACTATTTTTATTTTTATTTATATATTTATTTTTATTGATTCATTGTGAGGTAAAGTAACAAAACTTTCATGTTTGAGCTTCGATCATACAGTCCCAAACACCCATCCCTTCACCAGGAAATGTTTTCCACCACCAAAATCCCCAGTTTCCCCTCACCCCCAATCCACACCATCCCCTGCCTGTGTGGCAGACAATTTGCACAATACTCTATTTCTCTCTTTCTCTGTTTTAGTTAACTTTGATATTTCAAGACCAGTCCCACTACCCCTCATACCTGCGAAAACTGCAATGCTAGACAATGTGCTTTGTATTGCTTGTTATGGATACAATATAATGTGTGGCCACTCTCGCAGCTGCGTGCTCTAGGAATTCTAAAATTTTAATAATTAGGGTCTGAAGAGGTTGCTGCAGCAAGTTTCTCGGGTTCGAGATTTGTTTGTGTGTCTCTGGATCGTAGCCATGTGGGAGCTTAAGTAGACGGAGGCCGGATGTGGCGTCATCTCAGATTCCCATTGGGGTGGGGGGAAGGAAAAGGGCCCACTCCTCCCCGACCCCTGGTGTTTGCCTCCACTGCTACTCGTACCTGAAGCTTGTCACTGTCTTCTAGAAAATGGCAGCCGCTGGGGCTCCTAGAGGGCAGGCGGAAGGACAGTACCTGCCCTGTCTGGAGCAGCCCAGTGGAGAAGGCCTATTGCAAAGTCCCGAGCCATCTCTGCAGCAAGTTGCTTGGGTCTGAGATTCATTTGTATGTCTCATGACTTTATTTTTTTAAAATTTTTATTAGTGAGACACCATGAGGTACGGTTGTAGACTTACAAATTTTCATGCTTGGATTTCAATAATACAATGATCAAATACCCATCCCTCCACCAGACCAAACATGATTGCCACTCATTGCCTCTTTTGCAAACCACAACACCCTAAAAGGAGAGAGAGAACAAAAGGGAATGCCCTGTCACAGAGGCAGGGGTGTTGGGGGGGGATGGGGGTTGGGAGGGATACTGGGATTCATGACTTTATTTTTAAAGGTAAGTTTTTTTTTTTTAATCCAGTTGTTAATATTTAGGCACTGTGATTGACATCATTATGCATAGCAGAGTTCCAGGCAGTGTTCAACCCTCTCCCAACACACTGTCCCTCTGCCAGTGCCCAGAGCCCTACCACTCCTGTCTCCCTGCCTCTTACCTCAGTCCCCACCCCCATCAGTGTGCAGGGCCCCTCTTCCCTTCCCTGCTCGCCTCCTTGGAAAGTTTATTTAAAAAGAAAATAAAACCACCTTAATCAGAGTGGGGGTCCTGAGTCCACAGCAGTGCTAGCATTGAGACTTTGCTGCATGGAGTCACCTTGCCGTGCCCCACCCGCTCCCCTGTGCCTATATGGCAGTCTCAGCTCTGATATGGGCCAAGGTCTTGTCACCATTTGATAGCTTCGTTTTTCTTGTCTTGTTTTCCTGTAGACCCAGATGTGTGAGATCACCTGGCGTTTGTTCCCGCCCTTTGACTGGCATCACTGGGCATGGTACTCTCTAGAGCCAGCCAACTATCAGTCCCCTTCATGAGTTCATCGTTTTTTTTAAGTCGTTAAACACTTTTTAGTCTGTGTATCAGAAACCATAGTGCCTAAATGAGAGAGATAAAGAGAGAGAACAGAGGTGCCTGCCATAGAGGCAACTTGGGCGAGTGGTGGTCTGGGGTGTGGGAGAGAAACTGGGGACACTGGTGCTGGGAAATTACACTGGTGGAGGGATGGATATCAGAACATCATATGACTGAAACGCTATCATGAACAATTTTGTAATGATCTATCTCACAGTGATTCAATAGCACTGTAACACTATCTTCCTGTTGTTCATTGAGTTGCTCGAGTGGGCCCAGTAACGCTGCATTGTGAGACTTGTTGTTACTGTGTTTGGCATATTGAATACATCACGGGTAGCCTGCCAGGCTTTGCCGTGTGGGTGAGATACTCTAGGTAGCTTCCCAGGCTCTCTGAGAGGGGCAGAGGAATCGAACCCGGCTCGGCCAGGCCAGCTGCGTGCAAGGCCCTACTGCTATGCTATCGCTCCAGCCCAGTGATTCAATAAAAAAATAAAAATAAATAAAAGAGTCATTAAACATGTTTATTTGATAGAATTGTTAACCAATGCACACTTGTCTCACAGTCTGTTACTCATTTGTAGTTTTCTCTTGTCAAGAATGAAGATGTTCTAATAAAACTCATTCAGATAGGATTTGTATCTTGGAGGGTTATCAATTATAAGAACCTTTTAAAATTTCCTAGATAGTTTCAGTAGGCATGAGTTCATGTTTTGTTGCTCTTGTTTGTTTTAAAAAAGTTTTAGCCACTGAGATTTACAATATTGTTAATGATAGGGTTCCATGTACAATGTTTCATCCCTGTGCCCTGCACCAGAATGAATTCTTCCCTCTTCCACTGTTTCACAGTGGCCCCTGGGATCCCTATCCTTCACCTGCACTGTCTCCCTGCCAGCTCTCAAGTTCTGTTTCCAAGGGTCCAAATACCTTGTTCTGAAAAGACACTTGGTGCTCCTATGTTCATTGCAGCACTATTCACAGTTGTCAGAATCTGGGAACAGCTGAAGTCTCCACAAACAGATGACTGGGTAAAGGAGCTAAGTGTATGTGTCCACAATGGAATACCACTCAGCTGTAGGAAACGATGAAATTGTGCAGTTTACTGCTATATGGAGAGAAAAGCTGGCTAGGAGGAGAGGGACAAATATAAAATATCTTTTGTGCATGCTGTGTGTGTATTTGCCTCAGCTATTCTTAGACATTTGGATTGTTAACATGTCACTGACCCACCAACTGGATTAGTGAAACTAGAGCCGGGATGCAAATTGCTTTGCAGTTTTACTCTGTCACCAGATGGTACACATTCTTTGTGGTATCTCCCGTATGAAAAATATTACATACCTAATATTACAGTTTCAGAGTCCCTAAGAGTTTGATAAAAGGTTTCCAACTAAACCTACTCAGCGCTGCTCTTTGTTTCTCCTTTCCTTTCAGAAATGTGATGTGCTGTGGGAAGACTTTCATCAGAAACTAGTGGATGGGTCCTTGCTGACTCTGGATACCTATCTGGGCCAATTTCCTGACATAAAGGTACTCTTCTTCTGAAAAGGAAGGACCTGGGTGTCCCCATATGCTTATTGAAAGGTGGACAAGAGGAATTAGAAATACTCAGACTCACATAAGTAAGACAGTTGCTAACTTCTCATTCATTGACTATGAGATTTTTATTATGTTCTTGTAAGTATTAAATGAGACGTCATTTACTGAATCACATTTTTTGTTTTAGTGGGATAATTCTGCTTTTATTTTTTACAGAAATCATTTTAGTCCTAATCGAAAGAGGACTCAAGATACCCCAAATTCCAGTGTTCTTTCTGTATTCTGCCTTTGTATTTTCAATTGATTGGGATTGGGCCACTTCTGGTGGTGCTCTGGACTGACTCCTGGCTAAGTGCTCTGGGCTGACTCTTAGCTCTGTGCTCAGGACTCAGTTCCGGCTCTGTTCTCAGGGCTCACTCCTGGCTCTGTGCTTAGCGCTGACTAGTAACAAGAAAATGTTCATTATAAAAATGATAGCAGAATCTGATCTTCATTGCAATATATTTTGTATGCATTCATAACACACCTGTCTATTTTTTCACATTGTAATTTTCAAGTTTGAATTGAATTATGAAGATAGAAGAGTCAAATACATTTGCATCTTGTTCTAAAAATCATTCATCTTACTTGAGGTTTACTTGACTTGTCCCATTAATTTTTTTATTTTATTTTATATTTATTATTGAATCACTGTGTCACCGTGACATGCATTTACAAAGCTTTCATGATTGAGATTCAGTTATACAATGTACCAACATCCATCCCTCCACCTGTGCACATTTCCCAATATTCGCCATCCCATAGCCATCACCCCAACCCCCTAACCCCCCAGCCTGCCTATAACAGTCACTTCTCTCTCTCTCTCTCTCTCTCTCTCTCTCTCTCTCTCTCTCTCTCTCTCTCTCTCTCTCTCTCTCTCCCCCTCTCCCCCCTCCTCCCTTTTGGGCATTATAGTTTGTTATAGAGATACTGATACTGAAAGGCCATTATGTTTGTTTATTTGCCCGCTTTCAGCACATATCTCCAATCTGGAACAATCCCTTCCAACCATTATTGTCATAAAGGTCCCTTCTGTGTCCCAGCTACCCTCTCCCTTGGGGCAGGTTTCCAACTGTGGACCATTTATTCTGACCCTTGTTTCTACTATCCCTTAGTGGTGTTCGTCTCTTACTATATTCTCTCTCTCTCTCTCTCTCTCTCTCCCCTCCCTCCCTCTTTCCCTCCTCTCTCTCTTTCTTTCTTTCTTTCTTTCTTTCTTTCTTTCTTTCTTTCTTTCTTTCTTTCTTTCCTTCGTCTTTCTCTCTTTCTTATATCCCACAAATGAGTGCTGACAAATGATGTCTGTCCTTCTCCTTCTGACTAATTTCACTTAGCGTGATACTCTTCGTTTCCATCCATTTATAAGCAAATTTTCTGACTTCATTTTTTCTAACAGCTGAATAGTATTCCACTGTGCAGATGTACCATAGTTTCTTTAACCATGTACCATAGTTTCTTTAACCATTGACTTGTCCCATTTAAAGAAAGCACACAAGCAAATATTTGAATATAATAGGTATGGAGTTGCTTTTGGAGGTAAAAGGGGTTTTTTGTTTGTTTTTATTTATTTTTAGAGAAAATACTCATAATATTTTATTGTAAATATTAAATCATGAATTGACATAGGGACTATCTTAATATCTTTACATAATTGAATAGTCTTTTCCAGAACTTGATTTTTCTCCATTTAATTTTTTGGCAATCCCTTTCTCTTCAGTTTTTCTTGAGAGGCTGTGCCATGTGATACTGTTAAAACAGAGGATGATGCCCACCAGCAGTTTCAGCCCCTCTACCAATGACTCAGGGCCCTTCCCAACATCCTCTACCACTGTCCTTTGGAAAACTTATTCTTTTTCAATTTAATTTTCATACTTGGGGGGTCACATATTTACTTAGTATTAGCATTTCTGTTTTTATAGATATGGTCACCTCCTGTACCGTCAAAGTGCCAAGACTCCACCAGTGTCCTTACGTGGCTTCTAGTTTGCCTCATCATTCCTTTCATTCATCCCCCCCCTGCCTGCCTTACTTGAAAATATTATTCTGTGATCCCAGGTCAAAGAACTTTCCATATTGATAATTGTTCTCCATGTTTCAGAGATGAGTGCATGCAAATGTCCAGTGTGTGTCCTTCTCACTCACACTTCACTCTCGTGCTGCCCTTTTGTCCCAGCCTCCAGCGTGCTCTCACTGTATCCTGTGGCTGTCGAGGGCTAAATCATGCACACATACCACAGCTTCTTTGTCCTCTCTTCTGTTGTTGGACATTTGGGTTCTTTCTATTTCCTGACTGTTCGACAAAGTGCACAATAAACACAGGCTTGCATATACCTTTTTGAACTCATGTTTTGATGTTTAGGGGGTAGATGTCCAAAAGTGGCATTACTTGGTCACATGGAAACTCTTTTCATGACATTTTTAGAAATATCCATACTGTTTCTTCTGGAGGCTTTACCAGACAACATTCCCACCAGCAGCAAGTGAGGGCTCCTTTTTCACATCCCTGCCAATGCCATGTGTTTCCAGACTCTTTAGTATATACTGTTCTCACTGGTGTAATGTAGTGTCTCTTTGCTCTTTTGATTGGCATTTCCAGATGATAAGTGATGGTAAACATTTTTCATATGATCATTGGCCATTCTTTTTTTAAAAATTTTATTAGTGAAACACCATGAGGTACAGTTGTAGACTTACAAATTTTTGTGCTTGGGTTTCAGCCATACAATGATTGAGCACCAATCCCTCCACCAGTGCCCATTCTCCACTTCCAATGCTCCCAGCATTCCTCCAACCCCCCCATCCCACCCCACCCCTGTGGCAGGGCATTCCCTTTTGTTCTCTCTCTCTCTCCTATTGGGTGCTGTGGTTTGCAAAAGAGGCATCGAGTGGCAATCATGTTCAGTATAGTCTACTTTCAGCATGCATCTCTCATCCTTTGCGGATCCTCCCAACACCTTTACTTGGTGCTCCCCTCTCTATCTAAGCTGCCTTCTCCCCAAGTATGTGTGGCTGGCCTTCAAGCCATGGAGTGAACCTCCTAGTACTTATCTCAGCTATTCTTGGTGTTAGTCTCCCATATTATTACTTTATATTCCCCAGATGAAAGCAATCTTTCTATGTCTGTCCCTCTCTTTCTGACTCATTTCACTTAGCATGATACTTTCCATGTAGTACCACGTGTATGTAAATTTCATGATTTCATCTTTTCTGACAGCTTCATAGTACTCCATTGTGTAGATGTACCACTGTTTCTTTAACCAGTCATCTGTTCTCGGCCACTCGGGGTTCTTTTTTCCAGATTTTGGCTAAAAATAGTGCAGCAATCATTGGCTATTCTTAAGTCTTCTTCGTGTAAGTATCTGTTCACTTCATCTCCCTCTTTTTTTTATTTAATCTTTATTAGTGACAAACCATGAGGTACAGTTGTAGACTTACAAATTTTTGTGCTTGGGTTTCAATTATACAATGATTAAGTACCCATCTCTCCACCAGTGCCCATTTTCCACCACCATGGGTCCCAGTATCCCTCCCACTCCCCATCTCCCCCATCCCATCCTGCCTCTGTGGCAGGGCATTTCCTTTTGTTATCTCTCTCTTTTGGGTGCTGTGGTTTGCAAAAGAGGCATTAAGTAGCAGTCATGTTCAGTCTATAGTCTGCTTTCATCATACTTCTCCCATCCTTGGAGGATCCTCTTAACACCCTTTATTTGGTGCTCCCTTCTCTATCTGAGCTGCCTTTTCTCCTAGCATGTGTGGCTGGCCTCCAAGCCATGGAGTAAACCTCCTGATACTTATCTCGGTTATTCTTGGGTGTTAGTCTCCTATTTTGTTTCTTTATGTTCCCCAGATACCCCCCTCCCACATCCCCCAATGCTTATAAGGCACATGAATTCTACTTAACACTCTATCTACTTTGATTGCATTCATTTCGACAAAAGATGCACCATTATTGTTTAGAGTTTACACCAACAATCAGAACTGCTGAAAAGGCATTGTGAAATAATTTGTTTTCTACAGCTGGAACCATATAATGATTTTGGATTTCTGATATTTTACTTATTAAACCTGAAGGTATTTCTGCAAAAAGCCTGATAATTACGAGATTGGTTTCTGTGGTTCTGGAGCCATGTCCGTGCCAGAGAGCCACTTGTGTGGGGCAACTCTTGACCTCGGTAGGGCGTGAAGGACGAGCCAGGAACGCGCCCCTTCCCATGAGGTTTCAGTTGCCCTGTCACCGCCGGCTCATACCTGGCTTTCCAAAAAGCTCTGAGGTGGTCGCCATCTTGCTTCTCAGGGGGAAAAAGGTGGAAGGGAGCGACATCCCTTCCCTCCTGGGGAGGAATGATACCATGGATTAACGCATAGTCCATTCACTTTTCTGCCACAAGCTACCAGGCTCTGCATTAAGTCCTTGTTGGCACGCATCTTTCAACCTGAATGGGGCCTTCCAACATCCTTTGCTGGTGTTCCCTTCTCTATCCGTCTTTCCCCCCAGCATGTGAGGCCAGTTTCCAAGCCATGGAGCAGACCTCCTGGTTCTTATCTCTACTACTCTTTGGTGTTAAGTCTCCCATTCTGTTACTTTATATTCCACAGATGAATGCATTCTTTCTATGCCTGTCTTTCTGACTCATTTCACTTAACATGATACTTTCCATTTTTTATCCACTTATATGCAAATTTCATGACTTCATCTTTTCTGATAGCTGCATAGTATTCCACAGTGTAGGTAAAGGTAAAGGCCCTCCCCTTGATCGTCGATTTGCTCGAGCGGGCCCAGTAACGTCTCCATTGGAGACTTTGTTGTTACTGTGTTTGGCATATCGAATACTCTCGGTAGCTTGCCGGTCTCTCTGAGAGGGGCGGAGGAATCGAACTCGGGTCGGCCATGTTGGCCGCTTGTAAGGCCAACGCCCTACCGCTGTGCTATCGCTCCAGCCCTCCACAGTGCC